ACAGTCATAACATCTTATTACCACCAAAGTAATTCTGTGTGATTTCCATCGGCTGGGTAACAAACTCAGTCGAAAAATGTTTTCATAGGCAAGCCTAAAAGTTCCACAATTTTCTAAGGACCATAATGATGCTGAATTATATTCCTTGCACTCATAAGGAGAGACAAACCTACCTTGTGTTCTCTTTTAAAAAGTCACCATCTTTACAAGAAAGTTGCGGTATATATTTGTCTTCCACATATATGCAGTTTTCAGTGATGATAACTTTGTTGAATCTGAGAGTATATACCTTCACAATAAATCCAAGTCATTAGTCTCCTTCAGAATGATAACAATTCGTGTAAAACCTTGTATACCGTCTGTCAAAATGGGCGTTTTACCACCAGGCACCAACATGTGTCCAACGCCTTTAGGTCCTTAGCGTGATCTCGTTTGACGGTACAAGATTTGAAGGTAGGAAAAGATACTGATAAGCCCTTAAGTGCTGTGCAGTCGTTTTATCCTCATTGTAAATCATAGGTAGTGCGCATCTCATTAATTTCCAGAAAGATTCGAACTCGCCCATTTCCGGTCATAAGTGGCTGATCAGCATAGTTGATCACCCTGTTGATGATTTTAAGAAACAGCCGTACAATGGTTACCGATTAGCTTCACTTAGTGGGGGAAATTTTGATTGGAAAATGAACTCCGTCAAATGACTCGGTCGATAAACCATCTGTTCAGAAATGGAACAAAGACAGAAGTCCGCACAAAGCAACGATATCATTTTGGTGATGACTGCATCAGCAGACCGAGCAGACCTCCCGAAGAGCATGCTTTTGTACACAGGCTTAGTCATAAAGGAACCGTGGTCTTGACTACCAGTTTGAGTATCTTCACTCAGCATTCGAATGTCCATCCCACGAAAATAGACTAATTGACTCAAGATGTGATGTTGAACGGAGTGATTGTAAACAGAGTCTTCCCAGACCGCTAGGTTACACTTACGTTCAGAAGAACGATATATATCTTGAGCTTTATCATAAACTCAAGTGTTCAAAACTTCCGTTTTTCACCAATAACTCTCATGCAAAACATCTAGACTGGTTTTGAAATTTAAAATCAGTTGACAGATATAACTCGTATCACCTTTTAGTGCAATCTCTGAATGATAGCTCTTTTCATGCAGTATCTAACTTTCGTGTATTTGCTCAAGTCCCTTAATTCATTCAGTCTGAGCGACCTAGGAATTCACTGCGTTGTCTCTCCATGTTTTCCATCAATGTGTTTTGTTCATCAGGCTCTCTGAGAACCTTTTTTTAAAACCAAGTTGCTAAGTCATTTATAAGGACACCGCGTGCACCACTGAATGGATTTAACAGACCTCGACGGTCAGGTAGCTCACATAATCATCTCAAAATTTGGCAGAAAATGTCATTTGGCAGTGTGTCAGTAACATGAAAATTAAGCAAAATACAAATATGTTAAGGCTCCTAGTTCCCTTGGCTTCATTAAAATGAGGCTAAATCTAGAGACGGATAAACTTGTGCAGAACGTTTCCACCTGCTGTACTGAACAAGAATGTGTCTATCAAAATGCCTACTAAGATAAACATTGCTTAAACCAGCAAACAGTGCGAGCAAGAGTCATTCTGTACGCGCAGACTGCATTCTGGTCAGTCAGTACTGAGTCCCGTGTAAAGCTCCTCCACAGGTTTAATTGGTCAACGGCTTTGAGATTAAGTATGAAAAAACTGAAAGCATTGGACAACTGCATAAATCCTTTCCGTCCAAGTACGACTGCTTTATTATGTCCTTATCTGGCTTTATCCTAAAGAAAATCCGTCATATTCAGGCACCTTCTCACTGACGATTAATACTTTTCTTGGTAAATCCGGAAGTCGTTGTTCATAGGCTCTTACGTTAGAATATTTTTGGGAGTAAAAATCATAACACACGAAAATTGATTGAGTTTACCTAAACTGCTACAACAAATGTAAGTTTTTGGTGTAGTTGCCCATGGAACTCAAAGAAGTCATAAAGTCTCAATAAACTCTGATAAACGCCCTCACTACCAACAGCTGGGCTACTTATAACAGGTAACCACGCTTAGAGCTAGTGTCCATAGATTTACCCCGACTTAAATATTACCAGATTTCAGTGGTTCCCTGCTCTGCCAACCCCCGCTCCAGGACGCCGGCGTTCCATCAAGAAGCATAAATACGATGACTATAAGAATAGATTGTTTCACCCTCTCACTATTTTTCGCGATACCATCCTACGACTTACCTTATATGTACTGAAATAATAATTCAAACCAGACAAAAGTCTTTTACCATACTTGGTGTTTTTTGTTCCCTGACAAAAGACTAGCCTAGGTGACCATGCTTATCTTCAGTTACCAGACGTTAACATTGTTTCATTGTTCCGGTCCTAAACTTTTGCCAGGTCTTCTCTATTCGTTTCACAACTCTCCTAATTTCACGTACTTTTTTGGGTTTAAACCATTCATCACCATCATTATAGTCATCCTTATCAACTGTAACAACCGCGTACTTGTCGTCCAGTGGTTGTAGCTGCCACCGGCTCGTTCACCGATGATTTGGGGAGTTGGCTAGATAGCTGCACCTTGGATACGGTAGCTGATAAGATGTTGCGTAAATACGGCACTGTCAGTGGACTGTCAAGCGGGAGGATTTAGGTTGGAAAGGGAGGTTTAAACTATTCCTGTGCAGCGATAAGCTTTTTTTATTGTTACCTTGCGCCTAACAATGGTTATCTACAATCTCTCACTTCGAAATGTACAACAGAGCAGCTGAATTTTCTTTTTTTCTATTATCAGTTAAAACTCAACATTTTCAAACCACTTTGCTCCGTTTTATCTATTCTGTATTGTTTTATACCTGTGCCCTCGAGTGTGCTACTTCACTTTGAAAACTTAACTTATTGTTAACTGATGGTCGTTTTTTTTATATTTTACATAAGATGAAAATAGCTCATTGGAGTTAGTGAAACATCTTATCCGTTCATCAAAACGAAGGTGTCAAATGTGTGTCAGATAGCTTTCGTCGTCTTTAACTAATGTCCTTTAATACCACTGACGCACTTTTCTTTAAAAAACTTTCAGCTTACTGTACTTCTGGCGCTGCCTCGTCGAATAAAAATGATATCCCTATACTTATACCAGATTATGACTCCTAACGTACAACCGTTGATTCAGTAGCTTCAGTAGCTTCCCTATTTAGCATACTGAAACGCGGAGCTAGATACCGAGATGTGTATTCTCCTTGTCTTTTCACTCTTTTGGTGCTAAAACGTAAGCATAACGTTCTTACGAGGTCTGCTCGTAACTTCTAAAGCGAACCAATGCACAAAAGTGATACGTATATTTCGTTTACTGGCTTGGTTTTCTTTAGGTTTCTGATGTTTATGGACTGAAAAGGTTTGTAGTTTTACTAGGAAGAGCAATTCGTAATTGGTTGAGCGGTTCTAGCTTCGCTAGTTAATAGACCCATTTTTTATTAAAAATGGTCAAGCACCCTACAGCAAAGTGAATACCCTTTTCTCGGTATAGCTTTGGAAAGCCTTCCTACCTATCTTTCCCTCCATGCCATAGAGCATACCAAACTTCATTCTCGCAAATTTGGGAAATCATGAATCTTTGCCTTAACAAGGTTTGCGATTTCGGCGGTCAGTAACCAGATCAACTGCGTGGCCGAATTTTATCTGATACTGATGACTGCAGACTGTAACGGCAAAAAAAACATGGTCTGTCCTGAAACATGGAATTAGCTGGACGATGTAGTTCCTACGTTAGTGTTCTCAACTGTTTTCAAAAAGTCCTCAAATTTCACGTTTTGATGCTTCATCCAACCAAGCAAATAAAATCGAATCAGCAAATTCGAAGGAAACTGTGAGACCCACCAACTTGAGAAGTGCTAATTTCATTGTTCATAGCACCACCCCGTTGAAATAAGACTGAGCATACTGAGATTAGTAACCAGATCTGAGTCACCTAAACGGTAATATTACCTAATACCTTTATCATTCTACAAATTCCCCGTCAAATTTGACATTCCGTCCTGACGAAGTACATAGTTCGTTACGATTACTGAGAGTGATGAGTCCACTACTGATAAATTACTGCTTTTTAGAGTAGCGCCCACTACTCTAAATAACGCCAGATTGAACAAGCGACGATTCGATGGGAAGATACCTCAAGGTGAACAACAACGCAGCATCATTTGTAACATTTACGTGGGGTCCAAACGTTTTGTGCCGGCTGCAACCCGAAATCACACTGCAAGTGGGGATAGCATATGTGCTTGGAGTTGAGTTTGATATTACTCACGCCATGCTTATGCTCCTATTGTGATAGATGAATCGAATTCTGATCAAATGAGTAAATTCAGTTTAACTGTCACTGCGTGTTGGTAACTTGCCCAGCATAGTGAGTCTGTTTGACCCGCTATTTCTGTTCCCAGTTTTCACCAGAGGCTGGAATTAATAATGTGGATAATGCGCTCGGCTGTCCGCCAAGCCTGCACCGATTAATGATCTAATTTACTAGAAGAGAAACTGTGTTTGATGACTGACAGACTGGTCAGTGTTGTCTCATATCATCAGGTCTAGGTGCAAATTTCGAGTACGTCAATTGGATATGTGAATGACTAACCGTCTGGACAGACTGAGACTAAAAAGATTCGCAGTGAGTGAATGGGTTTGTGTGCACTGTAAGCCACTATGGTCATCTCAGTTTGATATGGACATATCCTTATTTTTAGTCTTTGACGTCACACTGAAATACCTGTTGTTTTTAATCCAGTTACCCTAAAGATGATGCCAGGAAGCGTTCGCGTAATATGCAGTCATCTTAACTTAATGGATTGGTCTATGCGTTGACCACGATTCTTCTAGCAAAACCTTTTTCCTTTAGTGCAGTTGAATTGCACCCTTACTTCAGAAGAGTGCCCCACCACCAAATGCAGTCCATAACAAAAAAAACAAAAGCCACATGTACCGTGATTATTTTCCTCCAACAAAAGTGACAAACGTTGACTTAATGCTTTATGTATTTGACTACTTATGTTTTCATATAAAACCGGTGGAAAGGGACGGAATTGGAAGGACAAAAACTGAATGCTGCTTTTCGACGTTCCAGTAGTATAAAAAGGCACTAGAACAGGTTGATCAGGAAATGTCTTGACTGAACCAACGGAATTGGGTGAACATGTTACTGGGCCCTCCTGAGGGTGGTAGCGATGTTTTGGCTTCATTTTTTGTGTCCAGCTGTGCGGCTGAGTTTGGTTCACGTGACGGAAAACGCGGACAATTATTTTTCATTCTGGAACGCTGCTGTTTTGCGGAATTCCCAATAGGACAAATTGAGCGATGAAATTCAACAGTCCAAACAGCATGATCAGTATGTAGAAAAAACAACGTATCCACCAAAGTATACAGGTTTTCATGTCGCACCAGTCACGTAGAACGGTCAGTTCATCGGAGATTTTAGGGGAATCTTTGCCATTTTTTGCATAGTCGCTGATAGCATCACATTTTACTTTAGGATGCACAACCGCCTCTCGTCCTAGGATCCGTTTGTTGAGCAAAGTGATCAAAGGGGGCAGTGTAAATATGAAGATGAAGCCGCCTGTTGCCCCAAGGAATCTGAAATACAGACAACAGGTAGGATATATAGTAATTCAAATGGTACGCGTAACGTACAGAAAAACTAACAGTAACAGTGCTATAAGTTGGCATCTACTTAAAATGTCGCTGGAAAAGCCACACTGTGACGCATTGCTCCGCTCCGCCCTTTATAAGGCCTTGATGATGCGTCCTCGAGTACTGATGAACTGCTCTCAGCAAAACCGTCAAGCTCAGTCAACGAGCCAACCACTAACTAAGTAATCTGCCCTACCAATAATCTCTGTTAAAAGTTCAGCGAAAATTTTAGAAGGCAAATCCCAGTGGTCAAAGCAATCATGTTGACAAAACCAGATTTTTTCGATCCACAGAGACATTATTTCAATGGATCGCTTTATGAGACTTAGGGTTATTGTGACTCCCTCGCTTTTTATTATTAGACAATTTTCATGCAAAGTTAGGTACAAAGAGAGATGATGAGGTAACTGAGGAAACATGTTTGGTAGACAAGATTTCATAGTTTTTTGTTTTTGGATTTCGTCTTGCAAGTGAATGCAGCTTGTGCTGAAAGATAAACGCTGTACACAGTTGTTTCGCTTCTCATCGAAACTCGTTATCATGTTCCGGTAGTAGGCAGAAAACGGAACCGACATTTCTTCATTCGAGTGGTCGTTAATTGGAGAACCCGACAACACTACGTCGCGTTCAAAGTGTGTCACCACATGATGAGTAGCTCCATTATCTGTTACACGCAAGTAAGCAACACAACTCGCTGATCGCTTCGTGGCTCGTAGCTAGGCCCTTCAGATCTGAAGCAAAGGGATTCCTCACCAATTGTGCAAACAAACACTGTTGATGTTTCTTTATCAGCTATTTTATTATACTTTTCGCGTTTCCGCACAGATTTTGATGAGATCCAGAATCAAACTCCAACTTGTGGTTTTGTTACCAAACAGCACAAACAATAGAAGCTCCATGGTTCCCGAAAACTGCTAAATAAGGGCTTTAGTTGAGATTTATTTTTTCTCGTTATTCAAACATTATGGGATCAAATAAGGATGAACTGTTGAATATAAATTTACTAAAGACGATAAACTAGTTCGTACAGATTCACTGGCTGATGAGCTTATTTGACTGTTTAATGCTATTTCTACGAATAGAAAGGATTGTCTTAAACAGAATAATCGACTAAGACTGGCACACAGCACTTTGTTGTGAACTGTGGCGACTGTGACCCATTAGTATCAGTCCCTGATATCCTCAAGTGCAGTCTTAACGCTCATGTTTCTGACAGTGAAAATGATGATGATGAGGACAACGGGAGTAATATAAGCGAAACGAAAAACTCACCGGATAATCGTGCCAATTTGCGGGTAGACGACGGCAAACAAGACACCGAGACCCACGACAACAAGATGAAAAATGAGCGCATGTTTCCAGCTGGAACGGTAATACTAATATTAGTTCATTTCGGAGAGTTCATGTTCATCCGAAGTCAAACAGGCAGAATGAAACCCACCTCGGGTAAATGTTCCCAAAAACAGCGTACATGAACTGTGCTCTCAGAAGGTAGACAATCATCGGATAGACCGTCGACATCTGAAACAACAGAGCCAGACGTCCAACAAAAACCGGAACATCAGTGACCAAGTTGTCCAGTAAGTTCTAGCAAAAGGACGGAAAGACAACGGTTGATCTTGGGGAAGAAACAAAATTTCCAAGGACCAAGTAAGAACAAGAATGACTTGAAGAAGGCTTTTTTACCAAGGTTTTTTAGAAGCCATGTAGTGTAGCTGGTTAAGGCAGCAATCAGGACAGCAGTGCACTGAGTAAACTAGCAAAAATTAAAGAGTAGACGGCATTCGTTGTTAGTCAGTCACCGTCAAGGTTCAATTTTACCAGAAAAAATATTAAATGAGCTTATCAGTGTAGTGACTGAAATGGTAAATCTCTACTTCTATTAAATCTTCAGAATAGCGTTAAACATGCTTGTTTAATCTTCGCCTGATTTCTGCAATGATGTGACGACAAACTTTCAACAGGATGCCAACAACAAAGCAATGAACGACCAGATGAATATGAGGTGATACTTCCGACAGTATGAGGTTAGAGATCGATACATGCAAATGTGGTCATGCTGTCCACAATTATGTAACCAACATACCTAGGTAACCAACCTCGCCGTTTGAATTTTCGTCAAAAATTAGTGTACTTATCATCCGCTATTATTGTACGTGAGTCATAAATCCTTGCTCTAAGTGAGACTAAAGCAGACATACATTTTCACAAATGGAACTCAGATATGTGAGCAATACGAGGCGAATGTTTGCTGCTGTCGGGAATCGAAAAAGTTTTTATGTTTCAACTTAATACTTGACTCACCTAATAAAACGATAGCTTGATTGCTCATCTCTATACGTATTAATCTCCCTGACGAACGGATGAGTCGACCTGAACTGCCCGACCACGCTGGTCGAGTTGTTGCTTTCTCCAATCTGTCACTTTGTTCGATAGTTCTTTCACTATCTACCGCAGAGGACAGTTTACAAACCTTAGTAATACAGTGCATACTCCAAAAGAATTAGGCGCAGATTTGTGTTCCTTGGTCAAAATCTCACGCCATGGAACAGTGGGCTGGTTGTGCTCGTTGTCTGAAGTTGCTAAATTGAGATCGCCGAAGGCATTTTAGCCTGCGATGACTAAAGTGGCAGTTATTTCACTGGAAGATTGATTGATATTGCCGGCGCATTACAGCTCACACAAAACATCGTTGTCTCAATAGAAATCTACCTCGAAATAACAGTCGAAAATCCAAAACCTGTCTGACTGTCGATTAACACAGCAATTATAGCTGTTTTCACTGAAAAGGAATCGAAGTGACTCGGGAAATGCATTTTCAGTTGAAATTCACAGTGAATTTCATGCAGAAACTAAACCTTTATGCCAGGCTCATGAAAAACAGGTTTGTGAGTCATCAGCGTGTATTTACTGGGAAATTACGTGGCACCACTTTCACCCTTAAAACGGCTAAATGGAACACTGGAGCACAGAACTGACAAAACACAACAAAATACTCACATCCTTTATGCACCGCTTGGAAACGGGGAAGACGGCGAAAAAAATGCAACCAATGAGGGAGTAGGTTAGAGTTGTAAACCCGAAAGCGGCCAGAATAACTTGTGGCTGAGAAGAAAAACAAAAAAACGTGACGGCGTTTTAGTGGTTAGGTAGAATTGTTTACAAGTTGCATTGGAATTAGCCACTAAATGTCAGTTTCCAAGCCGTTTGACCATCTAATTGTCTTGAAACAGTTACAATAATATATTAGTTTTTCTGAACAAGAGTTCATGTGAAGAAAACCGGTGACACATCAAAACTCCTCCAAAGTTGACCATCATATGGGCATGCTGAAATTTCAGACAAACCGCTCTCCTAGCTCATGTTTTATGAACTTTTAATGGCTGTAAAAAAATCAAACGTAACTGTTCAGCTGTAACGCCCGCCGAGTTTCTAGATTCTCCGAAGCAACCTAGATGGCTGAAATAACGACATCTTGCCAAAGGCTAGACAGGAGTGATTAAGATGCCGAAAGTGAGGTCAAACCACGGACCTCCGATAAGTAGGCTAACACCTCAACCACGGAGCCACCTTGTGCTCATATTTTGTCGTGTTTTAGTTGTTGCGTTCACAAAATTTCTGGACTGGGCAGAGTATCAGCTTTTACTGCATTGACGGAGCCACGATCTGAGCCACAAAAACCCGCAACTGCAAATTACTTAGATGCATAGAAGACCCAAAGCGTTTATAAAGAAAACCCCGTGTCTAGTGTTTCCATTTTGGCGTAAACCAACCGAAGCTTGTGGGCGTGTCACGACTTAAAGCTTTGGATCAAGTATCAACGATCAATAATGGAACTTTTACTCTTTGGTAACATCTAGGCGTTCTTGTTGATGAAGAAAGGAATCAGAACGGATGTGACATGTGGATTGTATAGGTAGTCCAGAGTCTACATGCCTCCAAAACTTTTTTGCATGCTTTGAACTCAAGATTACCAATCTGTAGGAACGTGAAACAAGAAGATCCGCCGCCCGTCATGTCAGCAAAAAGGCGCCTTCGAAAAGTGCAGCAAACCAACTATATCACTCAAACATAAACACGGTGGGCTGAAAGCACGGCACATTCAGCGTGCGGTGGTACAGCAGACATAGAACCCTCGCCTTGTATGTCAGATATCAGGAGTTTGAATCCCTGCGAGGCGAAAAATATACTCGGATGGTGAATTCTAATGGTGATACTGAAGTCCACTGTTTGCACACTCTGATGTAGACCCATCACCATGATTGAGCCAGAACTGTCCACAGTCGGGATTTCATTCCAAGCAGTTTAAATATCCTATCAACAAAATACAGTAATCAGAAAACAACTAATGGGGTGCAAAGAACGACGAAAACTAGCTTAGCTGAAAGCCGTTCAACCGGATCCATCTCCAGGAAATTTCGACAAGCCGGGGTTTGAAGATTTACAATGAACACTTTTTTCTGATTGTACGGTGCTCATTATTTTGCGAATCGAAAAACAAATTAACCATTATTCTGACAGTTAGTGGTCCTCGAGAAAAAAGTCTAAGGCAAGCTGATATTCATCGTCACTGATGAACAGTCCATCTTTGGAATCAGCAAATTATAGCGACGAGAGGGTAAGCCACTGTGATGTCAATTGACTGTGTTGTAATCCCTTGAGCGGAAATAACCAGTCTGCAACGAAACCAAGAAAGTTTGTGGTCCAGAAATATGCTTCTTTTGTCAGAGATGTTTATACGCATATACTAGGTGTGTATAAATGCCCACAGCCTTTTGAAATTCTGCTATGATTGTATTTATCTGCGTCATGACCCACTTTAAATGAACCTCAGATATCAATGCGATTAGCAGATTACAATGCATAAATGTTTTACTCCGTTGAATAGCTTTGGTTAATTGGGCGGTCATCGTACTTACATTGTGCTTCGGTGTGCGCTGAGCCCAGAGGATCGTGTGTAACGCATTGTGTATAAAGAACGCCATTGAACAAGCACCTGTAAGGCTGGCAAATAAATTTCTATAGTCTGAAAATTAAGCAGACAATAGCACGTGAGCATCAACACCATTTGATATGCTTATTTTGTCTTTGCCAGTCGGTCTGGCTTTTTAAGTGGTCATCATCATCATCGACAGCATGACATCAGTGTTCAACACCGATGCATCACTGTCGTACAACCATGATGATCGATGTGTACAACGCAACAAAAAGCTTTCTGCTGATATGTTAGAACGGTTACTGTTGTTCACTTTGATCTTGATGGAACAAGTCAGCTGTGTCGAAGCATAATATCCTACTCCCAAGATTAAGAAAAACCGCTTTATCTGCTGAATCGTCAGTCTGTTGTATCTGACTGCCGTTCCCACTCCAGTGCCTAGTGCCGGATGAAGGTTCACGGATAAGGAAAATAACAGTTTTGTTGCGAACAAACGAGTGCAAGAGTGCGAGTGCGAAAATAAAACGACCTCAGGCTAGTTAATTAGAGGGACACTGTCTGAACATAGTCCAACGCTGACACACACTATCTGGCTTTGACACAAGGCTGTAACCCGCTGTAGATTGACAGGGAGTTGTCTAACGTTTATCCAATGCTGACGCACGCTGTCTGGATCTGGTATGAGGCTCTAACGCGCTGCATATTGCAGGGGCGTTGCCTGTCTGGTCAGCATCTAGTGGAGTTGAGGATCTCAGTAATCTTTGGGGCATTCAGTGGTTACTTTCATAATAAAATCCTATTTTGTCCTTCCATTTGGCCTGTCAGGAACGGACAGTCCCCGAGTTTCCGTCAACCTTATGTTCTACTCGGACCCGAATTGGACGAAGTCACTCGTTTTTGAGAATCATCTTCAAGATGAGTCTCCCTTGAAAACTGAATTCATTTGCAAATGTAGCTGTATGTCTCACTTCGTCCGCACTCTACTACCACCACCGTCAATCCGAAAGAGCCATAGTTCAGATGTGACCGAATGTCACAGGTCTGCTTACAGTCATCCATCCTGTGGTCCCCCCAGTGACTGCAGGTTACAAAATCAGTATCACAAGAAACTCTTAATTACCGGAAATAACAATAAGAAATACTCATTAGCCATTCTGTTTCTGACCAGAGTAGGATGTGGTAGTTTCGGTCACACGTCTTTGACAAGCGCTAAATGACTGACAAACAAGTCGGACAACCAAAGTGCGTGGAAAGACAAAGTTGCTCGTTTGCCAAACCACAGTGCTAAACTACCAAGCTCAACGGCAGAACTTGAAACAAAGTGAAAGAGATGGTTTTGTTCACTTCCTCACTAAAGGCGGTTCCAGAAGGTCACATGAAGCTGATTTTGAATGGCTCTGAGTTTCAATAATTTGTATTCGTATTCATCCATTATCTTAACAGATCATTAAAATTTCATGTGTTTTGGAATGAAGCAGAATGATTTTGGGTGTATATAGAACAATATACCCGTAACATAGGGCGTATACCAAAACGGGGAAAACGACAACCAGGATTATTCCGTAAACTCAGCAAGTGAAAGCCAGATGAAGCACTGTATTCATTCTCAAATGACTACCGTATTAAAGTAGATTTGTAGTACCATTTAGGATCAAACATTAGAGTAAGCCTTTAAAAAAATCAAAACGGTGAACGGCGACTGATTTCACATTCAACTACCGAAAGGTTGTAGGCAACTCAACAAAGAAAAAGGATACTTTAGTGCTACACCATTATTTTTGTTATACTCACTCGAAATAGAACCGTTGAGAGTACAGCTACCATTCCCAGTTATGACGTCAAGCAAGCTACTGATCGATAGTACAAAATAAATTGTACCGTGACACGCGAAAGATCTTGTTTATCTTGAAGGTTTTGTCAGATTGCGTCAGTCAGACCAAATATTAATCTTTTCTTCAGTCTTGCTAGTATGATCCATCTAGTTTGTCTTAAGGGTAGCACCTGTATAAAAAATTTTATCCAAGCACAACCCAGGCTTTTCGGTTTCTCACGGCAAAACATTACATTATTTCACGAAAATTTCAAAAGCAGGACAATTTTCAACCAGGTAGCAAAGATTGTGAGCATGTTTGAAGTGTCACAGGAAATAAATAAGATTTTATTGCCAAAAAGAAAGGGATTTGCAGAAAATACAAATAAAACAAATCTAGAGGGTGCATTTCCAACAAATTTTACCACCGAACTGCTTAAAGGAAATTCACGAACGCTCATTGGTTAAAATGCGAACATTTCAGCTCCAATGACCCATCTACTGCTCCACTTCACCATACAAAATGGTAGTGATAATGCCACCTTAAAAAGTGATGATTTTGCTACAACTAAACCTCCCAGATTTAAAAGTACGCAATATGAACATGTAACATTTCGTTTACTTGGAAATCGCATTCTCTCACGAGAGATTCAAGATCACCGTGCGTCTTTCGAGACTCTCAACATATCTGAAAGATTGGTGGCCAAATACGATTACGTGAAATGAAGAGAAGACGTGAAATGAGCCCACACCAAGATCTTCTGTTTTATTTTGGCCCGGGTAACCGGCTGATACACATACAACTATCAATTTCGACTCTTTGGACTCAAATCCCCGTTTAAAGGCTTCGTACTGACTGTCTGTCCCGCTTGAAATTTAGTAAGCATTTGGTCTAGTCAGTAACGAAGTATGAAAATGCTAGTGATATTAGAGAGCAAAGATAGAAAATGTCAGACAAGTCTCAGGAACTATTTTGATCTTCTTCTATTCGTAACTGATTTCGGGTTGAAAATGTCACGAGAGGTAGTATTTTTGGTCTTTTGGCATTCTGAATGTGATGAACACTAATGGCGATTACATCACGGTAATGATGAGTTTTCGGTTTCCCCTTACATATGGAAGCTTTTTGGTGTGCTCGCTCCTGCACAATTTTGTGGCCGAAATTCCGGAACTGACCTTTGACAAACGGGAGTGTTCTACACTAAGTCGTGTTTCAAATGCAAAAAGACCTGACAGGCTAAGCAAAATGCTACCACTCCAAACAGACTCACTTTCAATCGTCCCAGTGACTTTGTCCGCATCCATATTCACCTTCCAGCTGTAGCCCTTAATTCCAGTCAAGATAAATAGATAGATAACAGAAATGGTTGCTGTAAGGGAATAGGGAACAGAATTTGGGTAAAGGCAAATAGAGCTAGCAGTGAAGATGTTTTTTTTAATCAGCTACGCCGCTGAAATGTGAAAATAGTCTGGATTTTGTGGAGAGAATCAGTCATTCAATCGGTTAGCTTGGATTCTACTACAAAGTGGTCGACGAAAGTCGCTTGGATGACTGGTAGCTTAGCAACCCTTATCCTACCAAGTTATTGTGACAGATATTTTTTCACGACCTAGAACCACTGATTTCATATGATGAGCTGCACTTAATCCAGTAAATAGGAAGGGCACTTAATTAATATATTTATCTCTAAGTATTTACCCAAGTGATGTGAGTTTTGGAAAAAGTTTGGAAGATTGCACGGGTGTCATGATGTTCCGTACAATGTACCTACAATGGTTGGCATTGGAATGCCCGTTTGTCCGTCACACCGAAATACACTGTTGCACATGCGTGAAGAACACAGTCTTCACTGAGTCGCGTCTGCAACCAAGTGAACACAACGTAACTCCGAAAAGATGAGACAGGATGGTGAATAAAAAAGGCTATCACCAGGTAGGCGCAATCCCCGAGTTTCCGTCAATTTTATGTTCTGTTTAAAACCCCAATTAACAAGTTAACGAAACGCACTCATTTGCAAACAAATTTGAGCTTCAAAAAGGCTAAAACCGGTCGTGGGCTATCGAAGGATCTTGTGAGTAGTGCATTACTTATATAAATGTATCGTGGTATCTGGAATATTGTACCAACTGAAATATGGGGCGGCCTGCTACAGCACACTCGGTTGCTTGGAAACATCATGAACTGGAGATTTAGCTGGGTTCCAGGTGAGTGTCACGCAAAACCAGATTTGTTGGCAAATGAGTGTATTTTACTAAGTCAATTAGGTCAAATTTATTGAGTAGGTGAAAACAAAAAATGACAGAATCTCGTGGTGTAGGCGAAAGTTAGCCTGCATATCCACAATGCATACATATGACTGGTTTTTGCGGGCAAACAATCGACGTCTTTCGTACAACAGTGGTCACATGTAGTCCACTCTACATCGCTTTCAGCTTATTCAGGATTAGAGCGGGTCACACGCAGAGGGAAAAATGAAATACGCATAAGGTATAACATGCTGGACTGATGTAGAATACAATAGGATATGACACAATGCGTAAAAGGCGAATTTGAACTGACAATGAATTCAAACAGACAACCTGGCTTCATTTAGCGAGTCAAGTAAATTGTACTCCCTTGAAAGATAGTGCGGTTTGTCTACCCAATAATATTTTAAACGGAAGCTTATTTTCACTTAATATGAATGGCAGGAAGCGCCAAGTCATCAACTTTCACGTTCTGAAAGACTGTTCCACTGGTCGAGCTATAACATGTGTAAGCTCTTCGCATATACGAACATGAACTCCATATTTAGTGACCAGGCCTATCCCAAATCAACACCAACTTGGTCTTACACATGCTATTACATTAGAGATTTGTCGCATTGTTCATCCTCGGTTGTCAGCAGACCACTGAAAAACTGCTTCTTTTTCTATAAGACGCATTCAGCACTAATAAGCTTCCAGTTTAAGTTTTCGACTGATTTATTATTTGAAAGTCATCCCAGTGTTTGTGGAATTTATTATACGATGAATTCTGGGATAAGCTGGTGCGCCCGCTCACTTTCCCGGGATCCAGTATTCGTTAAGGTACAAACCACTGTTGTGGAGGTAAGATCTGGTAGACAGTGTGGATAAACAATGAAGACGCCTCGGTCATCACCTGGGTAAACTGTTCCTGGGGATGTTCGTGACCGCTCTTTACCAGGTCGGATGATTAGGGTGGTTGACCAGAATAACTGTGCAATAATGGAGAGCAAAGCTTTTCAAAGTGCTAATCACCCACATTGCTGACGACGCAAGGCCTTCTGACTTGTTTCCGACTTATGAAGTGAGCGTCCCGTGATCAATAGCTCTACAGTGAGGTCAGCACTCTCCGTCGATGGGCCTCAGAGTCATGCGTCTGCCACCCGATCTGTGCGGCCGTTGAATATGCATTTGATGAGCTTCTTTGTGTGGCCATATACTAATTTACCGAACAAGTCAGCTACTGTTGAATGATAACTGTGATGGTCGGGAACATTCTAATTAAAAAATCCAACCGATAATCAGTAGTCATATTGCTTATCTTGGCAGCTTCTTAGATCAAGAAACGGATTAGCTTGACTAGCCTCCGAAATTTTCCAGGGTTTTAGATACTGGTTGACTGCACTATATGTTCAGATTTGAGGTTGTATACTTCAAGGTTTCGACAGAACTAAACTCGCCAAACCGGCCCGATCATCCATCAGAGAGGCGTGTTGTTCGTCCGCGATTCCGTTCTTTCTGACACAACGAAGCTCGTCCATTTCTAGCTCTGCTTGGGTTTTCCTGTTCACCTCGTTGGTAGTCACATACTATTACTGTAATATTCGTTTTTAATAGATATGTTAGATTTCTACGAAATGGTTATCCTACTCCGCCGACATTTTAATCAACTGGGAAATTTCATTGTTGGTTAGTGGTATCCTTTGGGTTTAATCGTAGGCCTAATCATATCAGAAGGTCTTTTCAACTCAAAATATGGTGTATTCACGTGACCTCAATTAGAAGATGGGAAGCTAATTTGGGACCAGGAGGTTTATTTTAAAGGAGACCCTCATAAGTTAGGGCGTCTATTATCTAGAGCAGCAAAAGTAACGATTTACCAGCATTACACCATCTGACACAAAAGGTTAGATGGCGATTCGCAAGGGCAAGCATGACAACCAAGACATGGACATACTGTGTTCCTCAACTCACCAAGTGCAGTGAATTTCCCGAGAAATGTGGGCGATTTGATCGATACCAGTGGGAACAAAATAAGCAAAATCCAGACAGGTACAGTGTTCTGCACGTGCCAAAGCTTGGCAAAGAGTTCATTCGTGCTTGTTTCGATGTAACTGCCATTGATACCTTCGACATCACAAAGTACTGTGAAATAAATAGAATTGCACTCGTTTTATCAGGAACATTTTCAAGAAAAGCGTGGGCATCCATGAGATCTCAGTCTTTCCGCATGTAAAACAAGACTGTCAGATTATCAATCGGTAAAAAACGGCTTTTCTTGGAGACGTTTACCTTATACCTTCGCTATCTACCAAAGCCGTTTGGAACGATGGGAGTATCGTTTGATGTGGAAGTGACACTAACCCATTTGAATACACATAACGAACCTGTACGGTTGAATGATTGGACGGTTTTTTGGGATACAACTTCAGGCGAAAGGAAGGTATTTTTGGGAGATCGGTGATCCCTTTACAACAAATTCAGACAGTTTACATTGAATTAAAGAGTAGTTAGTACTGCAACACGCTTTTTCATGTTTCCACATTACATCGAACGTAACACAAACTTCCTTAAAGAGTTACGGGAAAACAAATCCCAATAACTTGCATAACAAGGCTGCGATTTGATAACTCTTGAAATAACATGGACAAGAAACACATTCAAGACCTATACATCTTGGATCCTTCAGTGACAATGATTAAACTGGCCTTATTTTGGTTATTTGTAGGGAGAAATAACTTAGTTGACTGGATTTGCACACAACAGATTTAAGCACATGTATTATGTGGAATATCCTGAATATATGGAAAATAACCAGTAGTAACAGTTTTCATGCTAGCCAAATGAAGCACGAGGGCTGGGATATTTTCAAGTTGCCCAAGCTTCGATATCAGCAGTTTAGATGTTGGTTCGAACCATCGGCCTTCAGGCCAGTAAAATAGTGCCTTTACTACCTATCTATCTCGAGCTTCAACACATGGTTTATAACAATCCTCACCAAAGTTTGGGAAGCCCACGGAACGTTTTATCTGGAAAGGCCCTCATTCTTCAATCCTACCCACAAGGTACATCACTGGTTTGTGTTTTAGAAAAACTACTCTAATTTTACTTGCATATATACTCGATTTTGTTAACATTAACCGTTTTGTATTTAGATCTTCCCTTCTCTAGTGTGGTTCCTTCTCCATTTGATTCCTACCACAAAGGATAACACAGGGATGACTAAGCATGTTGCCGAAAAATATCGAGTGAAAATTTTCATCAATTTAGAGCACCTTGTCAGGGCGCACCCAGACAGAAGAAAAAGCACATGTGCACAGAGTGACGCATCCCCAAGGTCACCATGGGTTCGACACTTCCGGAAAGTAGGTGAGTTGATGGTTCCCACGAAACAAGGCTCCCACCTAACACGGTTTAGCAACAGACGACCAGCGTAGTGGGCCTGAGAATGTTCACGACCGGAACACCACCATTGGCTGTACGGAGCGAACAAGTGAACGAGCATATTTGGCCAATAGTCATCGTATATATTTACGCAGACATTCTGGCAATACAGCCGTGTCCGCAGTTCTCTGCCTTCTCTCTATCGCGTAGTCTGGCAGGCGCAGTGCAGCCGTAAACCCAATAGCTCGGCCACCGCGCACAATACAACATACCTCAAATGTTTTTTCGTACAAAAGACATCGAAAACGTCAAACTTATAATATTCGTCGATAATTGAACTTTGACTGTTATTAGATAGTTCACTTCAAGCCAAATACTGCACCGTAGAGAAACGGTCTTATCAATGGATCGGTCATCCTTAGGAGTTGGTCTGGTGAGAGAAGGCATTAACTCACTATCTGTGAAGTTCCTTCCCCCGAATGAAATTGTCGGCGGTATGGGGAATTCGTTTGTTGCGCTTTCTGTAAAGAAAATATTTATCAGCCTTGAGTTATAGTTTAAACAAACCATGAAACAAGTATGCGTTATACAAACTGTGGAGGCATAATATCAACAATGTCGACAAGTTTGTTAGGTGAGTTCCGCAATCTCGACTAATGTTTGACGTATTCGCGGACATCCGGACTTGCCAAGTGGATAACCATTTGTTTGTGTGTTCTCAGTATCTCTGGCTACAAAGCGGTGGCTATTTCCATCGTTAGACTAGAAACAATCCTTTTAGCTGTTCAAGTGTTTTGAACATAGATTGGATTGACATGATGAGTTAGCATTATCGTCATCCACTCCTGTTCCGTGGATCACTATGAAAAAGCTATGTACTTGTTCACGGGGCTTAAGTAAAGAACAACTAAATGGAACTTTTGTGAGATGTATGCGTGAAAATACTTTGTTATGGTCATTAGGTGCACCAAGAATTTGGCATCACCAGACGTTTTCGTCCCTACTCTCCAAATGTTTAATCCTAACTGCATATTTCCGCACGGCGTATTCAATAGGGAAGCGTCCCTTGAGTGATAACCCAGAAACAGAGTTTGGTACGGTACGACTTCGAGGAAGCACGGCTACAAGGATATAAGGCTTTGTATAGATGGACTGGAAACTGTCAAAAAAATGTACTACCGCAAATTAAACTTCCTGCACGCAGTTGTCAATAGTACAGCTCGTGTCCCACTCAGTTGACTAGTACCTAGTCTTCTGGAGGACGACTGTGTTGTAAAATTGTACATTTTGAAGCATCCGAGTCATAAATGGCTAAAGCTTTGCCGTAAATGGCACAAATACTCTTTGGCTGTTTCTGAACGTAATCAAGGCTTTCAGCCCCATGAGCAGCGGTGTTGTGGATCATTCTACGACAAAGTTACTGCACAGGCAAGATTGCCAACCTACTCAAAGGATTTCGCGTTGTGATGTGTACCAATATATATATATATATATATATATATATATATATATATAAAGTTCAGCTATATGAACTCAATAAATCACAAATTTGTAATTGGCGACCATCAGTCTCACTTACGATAAATATATTTTCCCGTGTTATACAAGAAGTTGCTCAATAATACATAGTAGACAATTGAAGCTCCGAGGATTACAACTTGCGAGAATACCGAGGTGATTATCCGACCGGGTCTGCCAAAATGGTAGTGAACAGCATCCGAAAAGTCCAGGAAAACTTCTTTCGGCAGATTTCTGATTGCTGGAGAAAGGAAAAGAAGTTTCAGCGAGTTTTTGAAAGCGAAAATGTTTTGAGAATTATTCCAATGATGATCGTAATAACAGAACTTTTCATACAACAAATTTCCTCGACCGTTTACATCACTCGTGGCCAATTTTAAGCCTAGTTTGCACCAACGTCAAAACGATCGTTGACGCTTATGAGCATATCGAGTCAGCAAGTTTTCCAATACACTACGACTGTCCTGATGGGCATGTCCAGAATATTCAAATTTGGGCAGTTATAATAACTCTCGCTGAAACAAGCCTATTAATTCTATGGAGACGAAGAGGAACGGAATAACGAGTTTCTCGTCCACAAAGCTTAAGTAATGCCTGCACTCCGTTTGATTGCTAATCAAAATAATGACATGTGATTTTCAAGGCAAGCACTTTAAAATCATTTAGTCAAAGCACATTCTGTCCACACTGACAGTAGGGCATCTGCTGGAAAAGTGCATAGACTGCTCCTATGCGGTTAATCTGACCAAATTGAGAAAATATTTTAGGCGTTGCAGGATATCCGAAAGCGCACAAAGATCCCGACTGCAGGTTACACCGCAGTCACCTGAAGGAAGACTAAGAGTTTTTAGTGCTTATCACTTGGGGTGCATACACTATCCTTTGTACATGCTGTGAAAATCGATCGTTTGGCTCTTGGTGAGAAAGTGAGAAGGAAAACATCTCCAACTCGACTACGCTCCTTATGTTTCATATAGCAAGTTTACTGTGATAGTCTGGGCCAGTGTGAACCTAGAGACCGTGGTACGTTGTCGCGAGCAGCACTATGACATGCTGGTTCTTGTTTTGATAAAGCAACAATAGTTGTGGATCAGCGGGGTTCCAGTGGGAGCCTCTGCGTGGATCTTGACTTAAGTCCCTTCGGCACTGCAGTCCGATTTTTGTAAAACGTCTTCAAAGCGGTATATTTTTTCTACCTTAAAGCCTAAGCCAGTCGGAAGCCCGTGAATTAGTTATCTGCAACAACAGCACCATCTTCAGTGAGAGGTAACTTCACGAATGCTATCACTTTCTGTGAAGTAGAAGCACATCGTCCCTCTCTCTCAGGATACAGAAGAATGCAGTCTACTTCTACGTTCCTATAACTAAGGCAAACACCGAATAACACGCACCACAGATACTCGACGATCGCTCTTTTCGGGCTTTGTTTGCGCGTATAGCGCGTACAGACGCCTGCATTCTACACGTGCTGACGTTTGGTGACTAATCGCAGTGGGAGATGCAAGTATCCCAGCCTATTGATCGATCAACATATTCCCGTCCACTGAAATTCAGACCCGGTTGTGGAACAATCAATATGTGACCGAAAGCTTGCAGACGCTAGGAAACATCTTTGGATGTTTTCAGGCCTACCCGTGACACAGCTGGGATTTAGGAGGTATAACCGTGGAGGTGTTCCGCGCAAGGCGCACAGCGCAAGTAAGTGGGATGAAACAAGGAGTCCATTTTTAAAACATGTTCGTATCAATAGCGTAAGCCAAGTTCATTTGTTCTGTTATCAGAGAATGCTTACCTTTTTGGGAAATGCTCTCGGAAAATCCCATACAGCCATACATACATACATACATACATACATACATACATACATGCATACATACAGCCTTTGGACATTTTAGTATTCATCAGCTCTTGAAGATTACAATAACTGCAATCACTCCAAAAAATTTTACCAAAAAAGTGACAAAATATTACTTGGCTTAGATGTTGGGCGCCATTCCATGCCTCAAAGGAAATGTGTTGACCACAAAATAAAAGAACTTCTTACACTATGATTTTTGTTACTCTTCGCTTGTTGGGTTTTATTCAAGTAAGTTTTCATCCTTCTATTCAAATATGGATTGTTCTCCCCTTCACTCTCAATACAGAAACCCAAGCAACTGTCTAATTTCTTAATCCCGTATAAAGTACTTGTCGATCAACAAACTATTCCATCACTTACATTTTGCGTTTAAAAAGATCTGTTCATTTTTACTTGGAATCGGTGTCCAATAAACTTGGGGTATCTAGGTTAAAACAATTGGCGCTGCCCGAGAAATGTATCGAAAAATGTCATGTGCAGTAATATGTTCTTGCCCCAAGCAAGCCCTTCAAAGAAGAGTGCAACTGTCTGATTCCGAAATCATCTGCCGTTTATAGGAGCTGTATCCAAGATTAACGCGAGATTTGGTGGAAGAATGCTTACTACGTATGTATCCACGTTTGTTGAAATACAACCCTCAAGATGCTAAACAATGAAAACGCGGCTGGTCCTGGTAACGTACACTTTGTGCGTGTACAGTGCCTTTGAATCCATGCACGGCCGCAGTCGAGATCTGTTGGAGGAATCTTGTGTCCTTCAGATTCAAGTGTTGGGCAACACTAATCAGGTTTTAATATCTGTTCAGCTCACTCGAACTTTGTCGTGAGATAGTAGGTTGGTAAGTGAAGGCAGTACAACCAAAGCGTTACCTATGGTTGCAATTACGGATCAACTTTTTTTCTTACTGGAGATGATCGACTACACAGTTAGTCTCACTTTTGATGCTAACCCAGTAGTTTGCTTCCATAACGGGAAACCAAAGAGCGGTGATGTCAAAACAACAAAGAACCATCGGTACCATCGTCATCGATAAAACCCAGGTGTGTATCTTCATCAGATACAAAGAGTGTGCACGATTTGGGGATGACAGTAACAAAAATATCATACGAGGATAGTTTTACTGAAACCTTGAGCAGTTTTTGGTAACCTTGCAGGAGACGGTAATGAACCTTGCTTTCCACAACAATGAAGCCTCACTTTAAGCAAGTGGAAGTTTCAAATGCGTTTTGGCATTACCCGTAATAAATGTCAACAACCTTAAATCATTAACCCCTACGGAAGCTTCCAAATAAGCTAATAAACTTGTATCTATCTGCTTGTTTTCTAGATAATTAAATGTCGTTATTCTATGGGTGAAAGCATAAGCTTTTCAAGAGAGAGTGCATTCAAGAACAGTTCGATCCGGATGGTCCGAAGGATTAGTACTAGAACTTGGATTGTCATTGCCTCTGCAAAACAATTTGTGCATCCAATTTTGAGATGATCCCATTAGACAGGGGATTATATAGAAAAAATGCGCGGGATTTGTTAAGAAAATTCTGAATTTCTGAAATGGGACTTTCGTGGCATGGAGCTGCTTACAGGTCAGAAGACAAGCTAAACAGTAAAACCTACTTTACAGTAGTATCTATTTGTAAATAATTCATACTCACTCCGTAGATCTCCCGTGATACGCTCAGCCAGATAAGCGGTATAGGTCGCTATTCCCGCAACCAAAAGTATCAAGAAGATACCGAAACCAAACCCAGCCTGTTGAAATACGGACAGAATAAAAAAGAGGGTTATTATCAAGAAATCTTCAGACTGTAATTTGATAGCCGCTGATCAGATTCCTCCAATGTTATTGGCAAAACCTACCGGTGGTGGACCTTGAATCTACAAAAGGCTTTAAAGCCGCTACAGGTGAGCTATTTCATTCATTCGACAAGCCCAATATACGAAAGAAGCTGGATTTATCCTAACATAAACTGTGCATAATGCACCACTTCAAAGATCTTCAAAGCATAAGAGTAAGAAACTTTTCCTTGAACGATTTGGCGGTCCGGCTGATCATAAATGCAGGGGATGTAAGCTTTTTGCGCATTTCCCGATTCACTGATAGGGGGTCTCGGTGCGTAAAGCAGCTGAACGCGTTAAGTTCAAAGAGTAAATTTGGTGTCCGATGATGATTACTTATGGCTTTTATAACTCTTGCTCTTCAATATGAAGAAGTAGAAGTCAGTTTCCCCTCTCGACTGAGTTTGCGTTACCTGACCATGTTTTGAACACAACAGTTTACTGTCGGGAACCCTCCGACCTTCCTCAAAAAGATTGATTGTACACGGATGGTTGAATTTTATTTGGAACCAAATAATGCCCTAATGTAGGACAAAAGCTAAGCGAAAATGTTGTAATGTAAACTTTACAAAACGAATTTGTACACATCTGAGCACGAAGACGCTTTTACTACTAGACCAACGAACTAATCATGGAGTTACACGTGGTCTCATGCTCCAACCACTGTATTGGAGAAAAGTCAATTACTCGATGGACGAGTCCAGCCACATGGAGTTTGCATTCAGAATAGGGTATCATTGGACTGGTTCACTCAAGCTGGTTTCCCACGGCCGACCTGCCGCACCAATGGTCCGCGTAGTGACTCCGAAGGTGGCTGGTAGTGGACTGACTGGTTCCGACTTCAGGTGATCTAAACTAGTAGTCGTGCTCACCCGATGAAAACTACTCTCATCAATAAAAAATGTGACAATAACCAGGGCTGGTCGAACCAAGTTGTCTAAACCTATTTTCTCCAAATATTTCATTGACCGGATACATACAAGCGCCTCATCATCTAGCACACATAACGGCCGTAGTCGTCGACCTTAACAACAAACTACCCAAAGGATGGTACGAAGTGAACCTTTCAAATGACATATCATGGCAGCGAATTTTTTTGCCTTCAGTTTTTTTCAAAACCTCGTATCCAGAATGAACTTGAGCAACAATTACATGATGTTTTACAGACATGTAATGCGAGTAGAAATTCAAAATGCCTATTTCATTCATTCTACTACTGAGCTACGCTTATATGTATTATGGTAATGAACGGTGTAAAGTTTCTCTTGTCCAGTTATTAGTTATATAATGACTGAAAGCTACTCGACAGTCCACCAACGCGAAGTTTTTCGGTTTTCAGGAGCCTCGCCTTCCACTCAGACACCAAACTGTTATGGGGAGGCTCGGTGGCATCTAGGCTGAACTCCTTTGTTTACGATGACACTGGTGTTGTGCCGAGAAGTGAGACCCTGATATCTTAAGTATCGTTTACAGTGGGTCATAAAGCGGTATTTGTGTGGAAAGCTCGTAAACGAGGGATACAGCTGAGTGCACATTACAGTTGCATTTTTTCACAAACGAGTTTGTAGTTGCACATGCATCCGAGCTTATACGGTGGTTTCCTACGATTTCTGTACACCTCGGTGACAAGTCTGGGAACTAAGTGGCCCTTTTACTGTTGACCAGAAAGTTAATTAATTGGTTCTCAAACCAGTGTTTAAGCTAAAGATGATAAATTCTGTCCATAATATAAAAAATTTGGTAGATTTGGATCATGGTTTGTTTTACCACGGTTAGAGCAGGGTGTCGGAGGGGTTTTTCTCTCTAGTGTTTCAAGGCAAACCAGGTTTTGCTGGCACAATAGAACCTTTAGTTGATTTTGAAAGCCCTGGCTACATCTGTATAACAGAGGATCTCTACCACAAAAGCAAAGGTAGCAGAAAACTTAACGAGTATGCTGCCTTTCGCAAGGTAACCAGGGCAGTGATCATTAATACATCCAGTCAAATGTCTTATCACTTAATCAACATTTTTCTGTGCTAGAGCAATTAGAAGCTTAAATTTATCATCCAATGTTCCTTGTAGTGACTCGTGTAATGGCCTGTCAGTGTAACGAGTAAACATTGATTTTTCGAAGATGAAAAAACCTATTTCCAAAATCAGCGAACTCGGTTTTTAGCTTCATTCATTGTTGAATGTCGTTTCCAAGAGTACTGTGTACACGTAAACTGAAAATTCTCTCCCCTGGTGTTTTCAATATTAATACTGAAACCTCTAACTGGTTTCGGGGAGTGTGATGTTTCTCTGGTTTGAAACTGGATAATTGCGTCCTCCTGATATTGTATCAACTCCCATATTGAGTCCGCTCTCCAAAGTAAACCTCAATCGATTACAAAACTGATGCACAGCCTCATCTGTACACCAGGTTATTCTTTATTTGGTTGGGTGGAGCAGGTTGTGAGAATCACCAAAAAAGAATACGGATGGTCGGCCCACTCTGTGATTTTTTGGTTGCAGTTTATTCGTCATAATGCACGCACCTTAACAACTAGCGTAATTCTGCCTCCCTCCTACCCATTTGAATAGTCACCAGGCCGGCATATCGAGCGGTCGATACGGCAATCCACTGGCATGCTGCTGTGATGAATCATCAAGGCAAAATTTTTGTCTGAAAAAGTCGGAAATGTGCACACCTTGTAACACGTTAAGCACCTGGACTTGCTTGATATTGTCTGGGGTATTATGAGATCGAGATCTGTGCTGAGTTGTCATCAAATGTTGGAAAAGTGCAAAAAAAGTAAAAACTAATCTCATAGGTGCAATGCTATTTCAATGCTTGGTATCAATGCCACCATCGATGACATTTGCGGTCTTAGACTACCCCGGACCTTGAGTCAGGAACAGCGAGTGAAAACGATAGGACATATCCGAGGGAAATTAAATTACAAAAACCCAAACAGCTAAGCATATTCTAAACAGTGATGTTGAAAATAGCTGTTGACGAAAACCTGGTCAGTCTGGAATATGCGGATGACATCCTGCTTACCTTCGAAAAGGAGGGAGATTAGTTAGGGTTTGGGTTATATGAAATGGGATACTCCCTAAGATATGAGATAAAGAAGGAATCTACGACAGATTTATTGAACATTTTACTAGATCAGGGCACTGATGAAAGGAATTAATGCAACTTACCTGAGCAAGAGCCCAAGGTATTGCCAGAACTGAGGTCCCCATCATGGTGTTCCAAATTGTGAACCTGCAGCGTAGATTACCATTTATTGATCAGTTTTTACAGAGGTGTTGATGGTACCAGAAATAGAAAATTAACAGAAATCCAGATACTGACCAGAACTTTAATTTGGCTATAATTTGCGTAATTCCAGTTCATCCTAACATTTTGAATAGAAAGGCTGTCAACACGTCATTTATTGCAAAACCTTTTTAAGAGAATGATGTTTCTTTAAAATTTTGAGATCTACTCTTAAAAAATCTGGTTGTCCTTAAACCCTACTGTAGTCTGTAGTCTCTGCAGGTGCAATTTTACAACGCTTTCTATTTCGGCCCTATAGATTGCTTTGCGGCCTGATAAATAAGCAGGGTTGAAGCCAGATATATATATATATATATATATATATATATATATATTTACACACATTTAT